TTTTTATGGAACCACTTTTTTCATAACAAGATGTTCGATTGTGCGTACATGATGTCGATATTCGTTGCCCAATGTCTACACCCAAAAATGACGTTCTATCTTCCTAGATTTGGTGTATGGTCCGCATTTACAACATGTCACATGACATCTATGCAACTACAAGAATATAACGCATGTAAATTTAACATTTAGAAGGGGTTTATTAATCTGAGTTCAATTCTTTAATCTGTGAACTGTTCAAGTTCCAAAACCTTATTTGTTCCGGTGCGACCATAACTACAGTAATTTGTTTGTTCTCTCCTGAACATCGGCATGTTTTGGATACATCGTTTTTTCTTTCTATGCCAGTACAAAGTTTTAAGATAAAACTTCACTAGCGCCCTAACTTTTGACGACGGCTAGAGTGGGCATTTGACAACTACAGGAGTGACTTGAGAACTCAGGACCAGTTCTCGATTGCAAAATGGCTCTGCTAAATGCAGAAGAAAAATGGTTTTTACAATCGTAGTCCTAGGTAGGATTTTTCTGAGAGATTTTATTGATTTAGCTTCAGCAAACATACATTTCTCGGTGTTAACTCCTCTTTTATTCGTTCAAGTGGTTTTGATACGTACGCTCCGGTCACTCGAGACTCAGACTGAAAATTTGGGGTTAACGAAGATACAGGGGATCAAACCAAACTCGTACCTGTCCTGCAGTCTCATCCGTCTTTGTCGTAGAGTACAATGAGATGGGTGCCTTCACACTTTCTTTTGATTTATTGCTTAATGATTTCGTGCTGCTTGTCACACTTTCTGCCCTTTTCGGCTCTTTCACCTTATCAGCAACAGCTCTCTTTGAGAACGTCTTGTTGGTTTGTTTACTGAATAAACAAGGTGAATGACAACAATTACTGGATTTCCAGCTACAAAAATGAGATTTTTGCTGGGAAAAACTTACTCATTGTAGTTGTCAACATCTCTTTGTCGATCTCGTTCTTCTTTACTTCGTCCTTGGTCTCGTCTGCATCGGACCAACCATACTGCGACACATAGAATCGACAGCGACGCGCATACTATCACCATCACCCCGACGGAGACTACCTTGAAAAAGGAACAGTAATTGCATTTTGTCCCAATTTCGGACCAAATTGGATTTTCTAAAATGATTTCAAGCAAATAAGCGTAATTTTCGTGGACTTTTTGCTCTGCAGCCTCTTCGCACGCATCCCTTTTCTAAAAAAAATCTAAGCTATTTTGAGGCTTTTCAGGTTGCTTATACATAATATCTAAATGCAAAGAGCTCTGGAACAGAGGCAGGAAAAACCTTTGAAACAACAACTGATTATATTCAAAAAGCATCTGAGGTACAGATAACTTTAAGAAAGTCTGTTTTTTTTTGCGAAGAAAATATTGAAACAAATTATTCCTTAAATATAATATATATGTTGTGCTTCGAAACTACTTACTGGAATTATTCATTTCAGAATTTAAGAAGTGCTCGAAATTCAATTGAAACGCAGATGATTTACAGTTTGCTTGCATAATCGTTGAAGCTGCTTCTACAGAAGCCAAAAGTCATCTGTACTTCTGATAATTGGCAACCTTAATTGTTTGAATTTAACATGAAATGTTCCAATTGTTCCTAGACCCCGTCACTTCATATGCAAAGGCGCTGAAAACTGAAGTGATACGGCGTACTGAAAATAGTATCAGTGGCAGTAAGTAGGCTAATCCTTGGCTTTGTACAGGGTTTAGTCAGATTGCTTCACCATAATTAAGTAATTCAGGAGACGATTGGCGAACTCTAGGCGTTATCAAATTGTAGATTTTTCTTCGAATATGACAAGCACAATGGCAGAAAAAATATTCTAAAACTTCTTCTCAAAGAATGTAAAAGTTGCACATATTCAAATTTTATTTCCCTAATCAACCTGCTTCCTTTTTGTAATAAGCTGAGTTTCATCTACAAGCATTGCTCGCAAATTTCCAAATGTTGTTGTTGTCCCTTTGAATGTTTACTTCAAGTTTTTGCATGCAGATTCACATTTGAAATTCCACGTGGA